CGGGTGGCGACTCCCGGCGCGATCACCCCGTTCCCGCGCTCGCAGCGCCGGGAGCGCTCCGTTCACCAGCCAGCGGCTCGACACGTGCAGCCGCGGGCGGGCAGCGGCGCTCCCCGGGAAAGCCCTTCGGGATCGCTTCCCTCGGGATAAACAGCCCGGAGAGGCCCGTCCCGGAGCGCGGAAGGCGGCGGGGGAGGCGGAGGACGCGGGCAGCCGGGGCTGACACCGGCCCTCGCGGCGGAGCGCGCCCGGCTCACCCCGCCGCCTGCGGATCCCCCCGGAGCGCCCGGCTCGGTCCCGCCGGGCTCCCGCCGCCCTCAGCCCGCCGCGGCTCCGTCCCCTCGGGGCCCGCGGCTGCACTCGGGCTCCCGCCTCCCGGTGCCCCGGAGCGGCCGCTCGGTCCCCTCAGCCCCCCGCCGCCCCCCGTGGCTCCGGCCCCTCGGGCGGCGCCGCTCGGGGCCCCCAGGCGCCCGCCCGGCCCGGCCCGGCCCCGCCGCGCCCTCAGCCCCACTCACCGGGTCCGGCCCGTGGCGGCGCCGGGGCCCCTCGGCCGCCGAGCCCGGGCGGGGGGCGCGCGGCGCATGCGCGGAGCCCCCTCAGCGCGCGGGCCGGGCGGGCGGGGAGCGAGGGACCCGGGCGGGACAAGGGACACGGGATAGGGACACGGGCGGGACAAGGGACACGGGATAGGGACACGGGCGGGACAAGGGACACGGGATAGGGACACGGGCGGGACAAGGGACATGGGATAGGGACACGGGATAGGGACAGGGCACGGGAACAGGGACCCGGGCGGGACAAGGGACACGGGACAGGGACAGGGACCCGGGCGGGACAAGGGACACGGGATAGGGACACGGGATAGGGAACAGCACACGGGATAGGGAACGGGAACAGGGACCCGGGCGGGACAAGGGACACGGGATAGGGACCCAGGACACGGGACAGGGACACGGGATAGGGAACAGCACACGGGATTGGGACAGGGACACGGGATAGGGACAGGGAACGGGAACAGGGACCCGGGCGGGACAAGGGACACGGACACGGGATAGGGACACGGGATAGGGAACAGCACACGGGATAGGGAACGGGAACAGGGACCCGGGCGGGACAAGGGACACGGGATAGGGACCCGAGATACGGGACAGGGACACGGGCGGGACAAGGGACACGGGATAGGGAACAGGGACACGGGATAGGAACAGGGAACGGGAACAAGGACCCAGGCGGGACAAGGGACACGGGATAGGGACAGGGACACGGGATAGGGAACGGTAACACGGAACGGGACAGGGACACAGGACAGGGACACGGAATAGGGACACGGGACACGGAACGGGACAAGGGACACGGGCTAGGGAACAGGGACATGGAACGGGACAAGGGACACGGGATAGGAACACGGGCGCGACAAGGGACACGGGATAGGAACGGGAACAGGGACCCGGGAGCGACAAGGAACACGGGATAGGGACACGGGCAGGACAAGGGACACGGGATAGGGAACGGGACAGGGACAGGGACACGGAACGGGACAGGGACAGGGAACGGGAACAGGGACCCGGGCAGGACAAGGGACACGGGATAGGGACACAGGCGGGACAAGGGACACAGGATAGGGACACGGGGATAGGAACACGGCCGGGAACAGGTACAGGGACACAGAACGGGGACAGGGACCCGGGTAGGACAAGGCACACGGGATAGGGAACGGGGACATGGAATGGGACAGGGACACGGGATAGGGACAGGGAACAGGAACAGGGACACGGCCATGGAACAGGGACAGGGAACGGGGACAGGGACACAGGGATAGGAACACGGCAGGGAACGGGTACAGGAACACGGAACGGGGACAGGGACACGGAACAGGGACACGGAACAGGGGTCAGGAGAGGGGATAGGGACAATGACACGGGACTGGAGTCAGGAGAGGGAATAGGACAAGGACATGGGACGGACACGGCAGGGAACAGGGACAGGGGCACGAGACGGGGTCAGGAGAGGGTACAGGGACAAGGACATGGGACAGGGACACAACAGGGGACAGGGACACAGGACTGGGGTCAGGAGAGGGGATAGGGACAAGAACACAGGACATGGGCCACCAGGGGAACATGGCAGGGGACAGGGACAATGACACGGGACTAGGGTCAGGATGGGGTATAGGGACAAGGACACCAAGCAGGGTCAGGATGAGGACACAGCAGGGGGATAGGGACAAGGACAGAGAGCAGGACAGGAATAGGGAGGAACACTGGAGCAGGGCTGTGGACAAGGACACCATAAACAGGGTGGGGACAAGGACATTGGAAGCAGGATAGGGACAGGAGCAGAGCAGAATGGGGACACTGAGAGCAAGGTGAGGATGGGAATAGCAAGAATAGGATGAAGACAGGGACACAGGGAGCTGGACAGGGCCTGGGGCAGGGTGGGGATGTGGAGACCAAAACAGGTTGGAATGGCAGCATTGGGAGCAGGACAGGGACAAGGACACATGGAGTAGGACACTAATGGGGACAGTGGGAACAGGGCTGTGGATGGAGACTAGGAGCAGGATGGAGGCAGTGGAAGCAAGAAGGGGACAAAGATGCTGTGAGGGGAATGGGGACATAAAGAGTGGGACAAATATGGAGGCACTGGCAGCAAAATGGGTGATGGGGACACTGGGACCAAGATAGGGATGGGGAGAGCAGGAGCAGGATGAGGACAGGGACAGAGGGAGCTGGACAGGGACTGGGGTGGGATGGGATGGGATGGGATGGGATGGGATGGGATGGGATGGGATGGGATGGGGGCATCAGGAACAGAAGGGGAATGATGACACAGGAAAAAGGACTGGGACAGAGACATGGAGAGCAGGACAAGGATGGGGACACTGGGAGCAGGGCTGTGGACAACGACACCAGGAGCAGGATGGAGATGAAATCATCAGGAGCAGGGTGGGGGTGCTGGGACAGGTGTGGGGATGGGGGCATCTGGAGCAGAATGAGAGCATCAGGAACAGGGTGGAGACAGGGACATAGAGCACAGGAAAGGGACAGGATGGGGACAAGGGACACCAAGAGCAGGGTGGAGGTCTGGGACAGGGACACTGGGAGCAGGATGGGAACAGGGACATGGGCAGCAGGAACAGGCACCCCAGGAACAGGATGGGGATGGGGACATCAGGAGCAGGGAGGAAACCAAGGATGCTGGGAGCAGGATAGGGACAGGAGAAGGGTGGGATGGGGAAATCACAAGCAGGGACACAGGCACTGCAAGCAGGATGAGGTCAAGGACACGGAGCAGGACAGTGAAGGGGATACTGGAAACAGGATAAACAACAGGGGCAGGATGGGGGAAATGGGATCAAGAAAGGGACAAGGACACTGGGACGGGGGATTGGGACATGAGGAGTAGGAAAATTACAGAGGCACTAGGAGCAGAATGAGTGATGGGGACAATGGCAGCAAGATTGAAATGGAGAGAATAGGACAGTGGGAATGGGGTGGTGGACAGGGACACCAGGACCAGGGTGGAGGCACTGGGAGCAAGACAGGCATGAGGACAGTAGAAGCAGAACTGCAGTCAGGGTCCCCAGGAGCAGGATGGAAACAGGGACACGGCACAGGGTGAGGGCTCATGCCACGAGGAGATGGCTGCTCAAGGTGCCAGATTGTGTGGGGACCTCCCAAGACCCCGGGGATGGGGACAAACGGGAACAACTGGGTGTGGGGGGGTCAGCACAGAGTTAGTCATTGCTGAGGGTGGGGGCACATCCCCTGGGGAGTGTCCCAGAACTGAGCCCTGACCAACTCGTGTCACACATGGAGCCCCCAGTTCCCCAGGGTGTGATGCCACGTGCCTCAGTTTACCCGCACCACAGCCCGGACAGGCACATGGCTTAGGGCATCCTGCACCGCACAGATCCTTTGTGTGGGGAAATTCCAGCCGCAGGGCCGGAGCTGGGGTCAGGGTCCAGCCGCAAACCCCCACTGCCAGGGCCGAGCGGTTTCCGCGGAAAATCCCCAGCTCACGTGCGCAGGGCCAGCGGTTTCCAGCTGCTGGGAAGAGCGGCGTGGGAACCGGCTCCTTCCCACGCCTGCCCGGCCGCGCCCCGCGGGGCGATCCCGCAGCCGCAGCCATCCACCCACCGGGCACTGCAGCCTCGGGGCTCGGCGCTCCGAACGCAGGCACGACCGGCACCGATGCCCATCCGCGGGTGTGCCCAGGGCCCCGTCCGGCCCCGCTGTCCAGCCCTGGAGAGCCCGGGGCTGGGATGAGGGATGTCTTCTTCCTACAAACCCGCCCGGAGCAGCCGCGCTCCGGAGGCAGGGCCATCCCCGAGCCCTGGGACGTGCAGGGCAGCACCGAGCACCGCCAAGCCCCGGCCACCGATCCCGCTGCAGCATCCCAGGGTTTGTGCCGGGAGATGCCTGGCCTGGTCTCTGGGGGCCCAGTTTGGTGCTGGGCTGTACTGGGAGGTGCCAAACACACCCAGCGTGGCCATGGGGGTGCCAGGGTTGTATTCTGCTTGCACCAAGACAGGATTGAGCCCCACTCTCCCCCAGGACAGAGGGGAAACACCCCATGGGTGAGGCCACGGTGCCAGGGCAGATGTGGGAGGTGAGGGGGACCCTCCTGGCACAGACCTGCAGGAAAGGCTGAGCCTGCTGCTAGGGCTGGAGAAGCAGGATTGCATCCCTGGAAAAGCTGAGCCTGCTGCTAGGGCTGGAGAAGCAGGATTGCATCCCTGGAAAAGCTGAGCCTGCTGCTAGGGCTGGAGCCACTCCTGCTGGGCCATGGGGTGGGGCAGCAGCATGGCCTGGGGGGGCGATGCAAATGTCGGCTGACAGGAAATCCCTCCCCTCCCTGTTTTTGATGCTCCACTGGTGTGACTTATCTCCCACAAGATGCAGTTTCCGCAGACCCAGCACCTGCTGGGATGGCTGGATGTGCTTTCCCATGGATGCTTCCTATCCCGTGCTTGTCAGCCCAGTGCCTCCCAGTTTCCACCAGCAGCTGGCAGGTTTTGGGAGTGGGGGAGGAGGCTGGCCTCAGTTTTACTCTCTGCTCCCCCTGTGCTGGTGGCCCAGGGCCATCTCAGGCCTCATTGAGCACAGGGATGCTCTGGGACAGGTTCCCAGGGGTGTTGCTGGGATGAATGAGGCTGCCAAAACTCAGCACAGCAGCATCAGGGCAAGGCCAGGCCAGCCCAGGCTGGGGCAGCCAGGGGACAGGGAGGGCAGGAATGGCCCCAGGAGACATGCAGCCCTGTAAATCAGCCCTGTTCCACAGCACACACTTGGGACAGAACTGGGGCAGAGTTCAGAGAGAGACAGAGCAGGGAAGTGGAGAGGGAGCACCAAAAACTTCTCAGATCATGAGCACCTGATGAAATCCCTGAAAACTTGGCAAGACTGAGCAAGAAAGGAAAAGAATAGGCCTGGGGTGGCTGGTTCATTCAGTACCACAGGCAGGAGTGGGAGACTGGGAGACAGGGAGTCCTTGGGAGTGGTACAGTGCTGAGGCCAGGGGGAACTGGGGCTGAAGGTGGGAGAAATACTG